TTAAAAGCATAACAGTGAAAAAGCAGAAGCAAAGCCTGTGGCATTTCTGCATTGGGAAAGATTTACATATTCTCAAATGACCTCCTGAGACTCCCGATGGTGATGTCCCTCCAAGGGGACAGAACAGCTACAATTAAACATAAATTTCATCTGTTTAAAAACAAAACTGACCTCTTTTCACCAAGCACACACTTCACTGCGTTCAGCATATTTGCCTTGCCACCTCGTGAAAAATACCACATCTACATGCGCGCAGCACTTACAGTAGGAAACACATGTTAAAAAGGAAGGAGAGTTCCTCTGAACATGGAAATTCTCCTCCAGCCTGGCACGACCTCAGGGTGCAGCCAGACGACAAGCTGGCACTGATCTCATGCCTTCCCCACACGAGCAGAGGAGATCTGGCACCCCTTTCCCTTCCAACCTCACGTGCTCCCACCGCTTTCCTTGCAGGGCTCTCTAGAGGCTGGTTCAATACACCACACTGGTGTAAAACAAGGCGGGGGGGGGGGGAAGAAGAAACTTTCTGCTAAGCTGGAAGGCAAATTAGATCATCCAAGGATCAGACACGTACCAGACTAGTGCAAAGGAGAGGAAGATCGCGTAGCCAGAAGCAGAGGAGAGAGGAGCAGGACTGTAGCACCTTTCGGTGGCAATGACCTGTTTGGCCCCCTCAGCTGTGCTGCCTGTCTGCATCCCCCTCCAGGGTACACAGCGTCAGGTGTAAAAGCAAACTGGCACTGAAGAGAGTGGGCCAACCCCCACAAAAACCTAACTCATCACAAGCAAGGCAGGGGGATAACTCCATCAGTGGCAGCCTTCATTTATGTCAGATTAATTACGCCCATTAAACCACACTTGTAATTCACAATTGAGGCAGCAATGAGCAGGAAAGGTGTGAGAGCGTACAGGGTGGCAACTTCTGCTAGCAACCTACCGCTAAAGACTTCAGCCCTAAACTTTGCATGTTTAAATGCAGGAATGTCTGACATTCACATTGCAAAAAGGTTACAAATGTCTCGGTGAACCAAGAAATGCAAAAAAGCTGTTGCCCTCAGACTAACATGAGCTCACCTGAGTTATCTGGGTTCATTCTGACCTAACTGGAAAAAGGAAACAATGTGGGTGAAAGGAATGTTCGACCAGTAGCTTTACAAACTCGGTATGCAGGCATGTAACTGTATTTTGGCTGGGTAAGAATGTAGCTTGTCTATGTTTAATTTTCTGTGTTTTTTCTAAAGAATTCTTTCATTTAAAAAAAAAACCACAACAGAAGGAGTAAAACAGAGTCTATAAGCAAAAGCAGGAGCCTTTAGTTGGGTTTGTGTTTCTCCAGACAAGCTGTTACGGCAGGTTTCACTCTGGATAGACAGACAGAAAAAGGAGTTCCTTAATTCCTCTGCTCTTGTTTTTGAGCCAAAGACATTTCTTTTCTGCATGTCTGGAACAGGAGGAGACAGAAACTCATCTGAAAAAAGAAATTAAAAAACCAGCTGAAGGCAGCAAGAGCAGTAAGACAGAAACTCAATTTGCATCCAGTGATCAAGTGGGCAAATCTGGTACATAAAAATTTCTGCCATCTCCGCCATGAAATCTGCCCTAGGCACAACCCATAGCAGAGCTGGCACAGAAATTAGCTGCCAAGCACCTAAAGCTCATTGTTAGACACTTCAATATTTTGGGGTGACCACAAAACAGGGAATCTGTCTTGTTCTCAACCCTCTTTGTCCCTTTCTGAAACCCAGCTGCACTCCGAGCTCTTTAGTGGCAGTAACATGCGAGAGGGGATTCCCAGAGTGAGTTACTTGTGAGCCAGTGCTCTCTCACAATGCGGAGGGAAGTGGCTATTCCCCCCCTCCCCAACTCTCCAATAACTCAGAAAAGCTGTAGGGATTTTCCTCAAAACTTCCCAAAAAATTTCACCACTGGGAAGAAACCAAGAACTAGATGGTCCCCAGTTGGATGAAAAGACTCCAGGGAAGCCTAAAAGGAATACTCCATGGACAAAAAACGGGCTCGCTGGGGCCCTGCAATCAGTGTCTACGCCACGTCTGCACACCGGGCAGAGAAAGGTCGTACTGGGTGACTTCTAGCAAGATCTTCCTAATACAACAAACTGGGACTGAGAACATCCCGATATTCGTAGGTAGGTGTGAAGGTGGAATGGCAGGAGAAAGACAAGCCCATGGGGATACTGGTAATGCGTTCAGACCGTAAATAAATAAGTTTGTGCTGTAATCAAGGCTGTAATCAAGGCTGTTCTGCCACTTTTCCACTGTGCTGAGACAGCAGGGCGTTCATGCACATCAGTGTCTCCAGCAGCAGATGACATCTCAGAAGCAGCTCTAAATTACACTGTCATTTCAGTGGGTCACCTCAGGTGAACCCCAGAGGAGCAAAATTCAATTCAAGGGGAAACAAACGTATCCATGTAGCTTGGGCATACACGACTTCCTATGAAATACAACCTTCAAATCATCCTTTTTAATTAAGACCCTCTTAAAGCTGCCTTCTGCTACGGTGTAAAGATTCAGCCTGGTATTCCCTATATTAGGATTCACTCATGTAGGACATACGGAGAGCATCTGCTTTCATCCTAGCATGCTACTTGACCTTTCGGAGCGCTACAGCACAGAGGTGTGCAAGCACCAGAACACCTGGGCTAAACCCAAGGACACAAGATGTAGCCACAGGCTCTGGGTGCCAGCTTTGACTGTGCCTTGATGTGGTCATGACCAGTCCCACATGGGGTCAGTTCTGTAAACGTTGGCCTTGGTGACTCGCGTAACAACGCGTGGGAAGTCACTGGCAGGGCCACGGCAGACTCCCTTTCTGGGCTTCACCATTTTGCCACGACAAGGTCAGAAGTTGGTCCTTGTGGTCCCTGTGGGTGAGCTAGGGAAGGCATCACCTGCAAGTCCTAGTAAAGCTTTTGCGACCACTCGTTTGTGGGTGCTGTAGCATGTGTTTTCAAGTGTCACTAATGTAAGAATACCTCTTTTTGGAGAGAAAGGTGGCAGGGTGTGTACATGTGCATACAGAGGGAGAAAGAAAGTGCATCAGATGTGCTGTCCTTGTCAGCCTGCCAAGCAACCCGCTCCCGAGGCACCAGGACTTCCACAGACTCATTGTGTGGGAAGCATCTAACAATTATGCCCCAAAAGCTGATATAATACTTTTAAAACCGCTTTTTTTCCCACTCTGCCTCTTGCAGAGTTAAATCCCAGAATTTTGTAACCGATCAGATTTGGAGAAGTAATTCTTCTCGGCAACAGGATGACCAAACCCTGCTGCCATATGGACTTGTGCCTTGTGTTTCCCAGCCCAGGCACCTCTCCCCACACCTCCCAGCCCATTCCCAAGCCCTCGGTGCCTCTACGCTCCTTACAGCCCCCTGGCAGCTGCCTCCTGCTCTTTCTGTCGGTTGGGCACGAGGAGGGGCAGCGCAGGCTCCGGCTGTTCAGGTGCTGCCCGTGGCTAGCCAGGGGCTTCCATGCAGTGGGCAAGGATGCTGCATCTCTGCCAGCTCTGCCTCCCTGCCAAATTTTGTTGAAACTGGGCAGGGGATTCGAAAGTTACAAGCAGGGACCTAAAGAAAGAGATGGAGAGATGGAAAGCAGGATAAACTATCATTCCCTGAGCAAGCCATATAAAAAAAAAAAGTACAACTACAGGAACACCTAGTTTTCTGTTATCAAACTCCTATTTCTAGTACCGGATATTAGCATGCATCAGACTGTATATCCAAGTATTGCCCTTCTTTGGTCTTGGAATCAGCATCCTTTTTAGAGAAACTAGATGACCGGCTAATTACCGCATGCTCATAGTTACATTAATAACATACCACAAGCTCTTACAGTACGGAGAGAGAAACAGTTCTGCACATGACGGATTGCTTGCCCGCTGCAGTGCAGGCAAAATACATCTGTGCTTGACAAGTGCAGAGGTAGGGGAAGGAGTGTGGGGGAAGACAGGAGAGCAGAGATCTCAGGAGTGGATCCTTTCTTCACAAGTGAGCTCTGTGATTCAATCCCCGTTAAATTCTCTGAGTTTTGTTTTAATATTGTGAGACCGAAACTCAAAACAAAACTCAGCATCAAATACCTCCCAGTTTCACAACATCAGCATGAAAAACTCCTAATTTTGCATCACTTGATTTTTAACCAGAGCCTCAGTTCAGGCCGGGTTTGCTCCAGAGTATCATTAGCTGCAATGAAACACTAAAATTGCCAATAAGCACAACCTATTTTGCATCCACAACGAATCTCAGCTGAGAAGAGAGTCTTGTGTGGTTTCAAGGTTAACATTTCACACAGCTGAGAAGATTCATCCCAAGCCTCTTGAGGTCGGGGGGGACCTGTGGACTTCAGCAAGCTTTGCGGCAGGTCCTTGGAGAAGGACAGGGGACAGCCCTTGCAGTCCTCCGACAGGGACTTGTGTTGTTGGAGAAAGCACTCGCTCTGCGCTGCGCTGCCCGGGCGGCGGAAAACCCTCCAACCCGCCGCCCTGCCCTGTCAGCCCCACCGCACGCTCACTTTAGCCATCCAAAAAACTGCAGAAACTGCCCCGCCACCGAAGCCGAAGCCCAAGGGGCCACGCCACATGCTCACTGTGGACGTCAGCCACCCCGAAAACGCCCTCCTTGCTCTCACTCCAGCTGGGATAGGTGACCACCTCGCCCCTCTGGGAGCCGGCAGCCCGGCACGACCGGCCTGGGGAGCCGAGAGCTCACGCATCCTCAGCACTCGCCGCCACGGTTAGCAAGCCAGCCACCCCCAAACCCTGGCCCGACCTCAGCCCTAGCAGAAGACACCAGAACGAGTGCCCCGGGGGCCGTCATCCCCCAAAGACCGGCAGGCGGGCACTGCCGCCCGCTCGGGCCCAGCGCGCCTCCTCCCGCGCTCCCACGCCGGCCCCCAAAGACCGGCAGGCGGCCCCTGCCGCCCGCTCGGGCCCAGCGCGCCTCCTCCCGCGCTCCCACGCCGGCCGCTCCTGCTTACCTCGGCTAAGGCAGAGCAGCACGAAGAGCCCGAGCCCCAGCCACCTCCTCAAGGCCAGCGCCGGCGGGGCGGCGGGCAGGCACGCCATCTTCCCGTAGCTCCTGGGCTGGGAGGAGAGGGGGACGCCACGGTTAGGGGAACAGTGCCCGAGGAGCCACAGCACCCCTCGCCGCCGCCCTCCCCTTCCTGCCCGCTGCCGCCCCCAAGAAAACACGAGCACAAGCCC